CCTAGGGGGATGCTGAGTGCAGCTGTCAGCCTGCTGCCAGGAGCTACTTTAGTTAGCAGAATTGTAGGCTCTTCCTTCTGTCACCTCTCCCCTTTCCCTACCATCACATTGCTGATCAGGCTGTCGCCCAGGTGCTTCTGAGATTGTGCTGAGTCAGCTACACACATACTCTTCATGAGTACAAGGAAATCGATGATCTCCAGGCTCTTAGAGGTGCCAAGTAGCTCAAGCATAGGAAGGCCCATTGGATGGACTCCACAGGTGGCCCACCTATGTAAATTGGCTGGGCAGCACTCGACCGGCTGGGCTCTGATCCCTGGCTGTTTACCAAACCTCTGGAATTTCTCAGTTCATGTTATCTGGGTAAGAGCATAGGGACAGACAAACATTCCTCTATCCAAGCATCCCACCTTCAACGCAGTCAAAAGCAAATACCTAGAGAAGAGTATAAAAAATGGCAGTGTAAGCATGTAGCAATACTTGCCCAAATAGATTCCCAGTGTCTGACTGGGATCTCAGGGACTTTTAGAGACAAAGGTGAAGTCTTTGTCCTTATTAACTTTTGTCTCCCACAAACTTGTCCAGTCCACCTCCCATGACTTGTACAGTCATGTAAGCTTTCCACAGCATCCCACAGCAAGGATTTTAACAGCTTAAAAAGAAAGGTGCTCTGTGCAGTGTTCCATCTTTTTTTTTTTTTGATCTTGCTACCTCTTAGCTTTCTTTGATGACCCCTTGTTCGTGTACTGGAAGAAATGGTGAACAACCGATCCCTATCCATGCCATTCATGATTTCATAGATGCTGAGCTTATCTACCACTTACCTCTCCGTACCAATCCTGGCAGTGTTCAATCTATACACAATAGCAAGATTTGTTGTGTGATGGAAGGAAGGATATTCATGCAGAAATATCCCAGTAAGACTCTCATGCAATGCCCTGTTTTGACTCACTCCATTTTGTTATGTGAAGGTTTCACAATACTCCAGGTTCTCCCCGTGTTTCAGCACATCTGCATAGGGCTTGCATCTGCAGGTTGATGGAATGTTCTCCCCCACATCTCTCACCCTGCCTTGCAGACCTAAGCACCAGGAAGTGGGCAAACGGCTGCTGGCCCACAGGGTTCCCCTCTGCCGTATAAACAGCGTGACACTGAAGTACCTCCCCAAGGATCACTTTTGGAGGAAGGATGAATCATCCATTGTCGGCATGTTCTGTGCAGCCCCACTGCCTCTTGATAGCAAGTAAGTCACAAGAATATCTTACAGGGATCCAGTAAGCCTGTGGATGCAGCCTGTGGTTTGAAAGAACACTTTCTCCTGTTTAGATAAACATGTAAAGAGGTCTCTCCCATCACCTCTATGTCCCTGTGTAAATTATTTTCTACCTGTGAGAAAGAAAATCTACCAAGGTAGTTCTTTAGGAGTTTTCTACAATACTCCCTCCAGGATAAAAGCATTGTGCCATGGAAGGAAAATGGCTGCAACTCACATCACCTTAGAGATGCTTAAGTCGCAAACCATGGCAAAAGCTTGTACTAACTTGAATATATTCCTTTTGCCCTAGCTTGCTCTCTCCATCTTGCCCCTGTCTACAACGTGCCTCCATCTGCAACATGACAGATAAACATTTTTCAGGATGAGACAACAGAAGACTAGTAGTATATTTCTGCATCTTATACTGCACAGGATTATAAAGCACTAAGGCTAAAGACAACCATTTTGGCATTTCTAGGCCAGGCTTTGTAGACTGTATGTCTTCAGCCATAATAACCTTACCCAGAGTAGAAGCAGCCAAGTCCTCCTCACCCTGAGAGAGATAATGGTCTTCTCCATAATCCATAAGTATTCTTGCCAGGAGTTTTGCAGATCTAAGGTTCTTGCAGGCAGGATAAAATGGCTGGGTCTATACTGACATACTAAACTCTGTCTAAATTGCTTTTGAGCTGACTCTTATGCTGGCTCCAGGCTGAAGCAAGCTAGTGGGTACTCCAAAACAGGGAAAACCAGAAGGCAAACTGGGCTCACATTCAAATTCTGTTCTGATGGGCAGTAAGGAGCACAAGGGCAGTAAAAGTATATCCAGTAGGCCCAAATGGGGGAAGAAAAAAGAGGCATTCCTATGTAAATACCAGGCACTCCCTTGAGCATAAGGACTATTACTGACTAGCATGTTTTGCAGAGCCAAGCACTCCGAAGTTGGGATGTGGATGTGCACATACATGGCTTTTCATCACTTAGGAATGGGACAGCATGGCCCATCGCCTTAAAGGTGTGCTAACCTGCATCCCTGGAAGCACTGGGCTTGGCTGTGATGGAGGTAGAAAGCTGTAGAGTTGCACAAGTTATCACTAAACTGGGAGCACTCAGAGCCGCAATGGTACTGCTAGGAGAGAGCAGTGGGAAGGTGAAGGACACAACCCCACATCCACCCCTCCAGCCAATTCACCTCTGCCAGGGCACAGCACCCTGTTCGTGATGCCAAGGGCTTGTCCACCAGCAGCTCACTTGCCTCTGTGTTAGGAGAGCAGCATCCACCTCCTAATGCCCAGCCTGACTTCGCTCTGCTCTTCCCACAGCAGGACAATGTCATGCCTGCCCTGGAACCTCACCCTCCCTGGCAACACAGACATCTCCTATGAGCTGCCCGCCGCTTGTGCCTAGCACTGCCTTTGGAGCACACAGGCATGCCCAAATCCAGAAAGGAGCCTTAAACTTATTCCTGCTCTCTGCTCACAGATTATAATTTCACCATAAAACTGGATGGGTTGTTTACTTCCTGCATTAGGGACAGGATGTCAAGGAAAAGAAGTGTGCGGCAGATCGGTGAGTACCAGGTTGACTGGTTACACCAAGATGTCTCTGTTAAAAGACTGGATTGGGACTTTTATCTCACGGGTTTTGCACCCAGCTCTGAGACAGGCAAGTAATTTAATCTCAAGACTTGGATGTTTATGAAAGAAGGAAGAGATAATATCACTCTTCCTACAATCAGCAGTATTGGGACGATTAATTTGTGTTTTATATTAAAGTATCTTTATATCTTTATGTGAAAGGTGAGAGGTATTATTTTTCCTCAGCAAGGGGATATGGTGTGGTTCATGTTTGGCACAGGAAGGGGTCATTCTTAGCAAGCTCTCCCATGGCAAACTCACTAGTCCCATCAACAAGACACTTTCAGAGTGAGACCCTACTGATTTCATGTTAGCACTCCTGCGAAGTAATCAGAATGGATCTCTTTCCCTGATAGTCCTGGAGCAGGTCTTCCAGCTGTTGGCTTGTTCTCTCTGAAGCTCACGTACGAAGCAAAACAGACACCAGGAGCTCAGCACTGCTCTTGCGTCCAATTTTGCACGACTTTGACCAACTGCCCAGAACAGAAGGTAGTAAGAGGAGGACAGAGTTGTAGCTGCAGGGCCACCTAACAAAAATTAGTCCCAGGAACTCAGCACAGCTTTTCAGACCTGAAAAAGTAGCTGAGGTCTGGAAAGAATAGGTGTAAGATTACAATATGAGGTGCACATACATAGAATCAGGCCTCACCCAGATGCAGCTTTTCCACCACTTTGATGCATATGCAAATTAGAGAGGAGACGAGTCTTTCGTCACTTCTGCTCACAAACCACATCTTCTGTGGACCATTTTCTCTGGTTCCCTGAACTGGCTTCACTGGGCGATAAAGAAGTGCACTAGGAACATCATTGTCAGGAGAGAGGGGCTTGCTAAAGGCATCTCTGCCACGAAGAAGCCTGTCATTCAGCATGAGCTGTCACTACTGTCCACCAGACAGTGTCACTGCAGAGCCAGCTCCTGCTTTCAGCTCATATCCAAGCTTTTGGGCCCTGCCATGTGGCTGTTTGGATGACCAGCTAACAAACACCATCTCCACCATACGCTAGGGAGGGGGTTAAAGATGAGTCTGACAACCTGACAGAGATCCAGGTTAGTCAGTGCCATGACTGAAGAATTTCCAGGGAGCTTCTTGCTCAGACTGGAAGACTGAAATATAACCTCAGCAGGCACCCGTGAAGTGTAAGTCAGCCCAGAACAGACCCCTACTTCAGGCAGGTTTATAAAGCACCATGACAGATGGAAGGAGTTCCATTGTGCATTTCCTGTGGGTTCCTTTGCAGAAAGGACCCCAACAGCTCTCCTGTTAATTTGCAGGAGACATTTCCCAGCTGTGAAGAGCAATGGGGTCAGGCTACAGCAAGAATGGAGCAACAGAGCAGGATGATAACCATTAGCAGGATGATCCCGTGCATGCTGATAGAGGGATTGATGCTCCTTGCTCCTTCCCTGAATATTTATCCCGGAGAAGCTCCCACCCTCACCACCAGCCTGGTTGCACCAGGCTCTGTGGGACAGAGGATTCCTCCACCAGTACTGCCATCTCCCATTCCCTGACAGAGGAAATGTCTGGGGAAGCTCATCAGCCAACACCTGTTGAAGCTGGAAGAGGCCTTCCATCTCTACACTCTTCATCTAAGATATTTCACTTCTCCCTACCAGTGACTCAGTGACTGCTCACCCCAGAGATGTTTTGTACTCACTCATTTCATCACTCAGTGTGTGCACCCTGAGGTCATCCCCCACTGAGCTCACCAAAAAAAAAAAAATGGTTAAGGGTTCAGGCTCTCCTTGCTTACACCTGCCCCCAGTCCCAGCTCCTCCCCTTTCTTATTCCAAATGAATCAACTCAAATAACCAACCTTTCACCAGAAGTCAGTAACTTCTTTGAGAGGTGGTGCTTGTCATATATGAGAAATCCTAACCCCTGGAAAAGTGATTTATTGTTTTACTAGAGCGGATGCCCAGTAAGATGCATGCTATCAAATCTCCATATTATGCTCTCCATTGCAAGCCTGTTACCAAAGCCATCAGGCATCTCATTTTCCCCTGCCCTTTCCCCTCCGTGCCTTAAGATCACCTCGAACCTTTCAAACGGTGTTATTTCCCTCTCCAAATCCTCAAACGCCAGTAGTTTAATCTCTGACTTTAATGGAAATCATTAAATCAAAGGGAACACAGATTCTGCGAGCAGGCTGGTATCACTTGCAGTGATACCGGTGTACCTTGGTATCAGAGCTGCCGACACACCTCAGAGAGGCAGGACTAGAAAACAAACCATGGGAGCACACTGGGGCAGGCAGCTCTGGTGAACAGCCATTGGGTGGGAGGTGCTGGAGTGTCACACCGCAGTCTCACACATGTGTTTCACGTGCTCCTGAGTGTACTTGTCTGCAGGCAGATGTCTCAGTGCGTGCTAAAGAGTGTTTCTCTGGTCAGAAACTTGGGTGAGCATACGGTCCCCTGGAAGGGCTTTGGGATTAAAATGGCCTGTTGTTCCCTAGAGTTCAGGGGTCTGAGTGGGAGCCAGAGGGGCTCGTCCTTTGCAGGGAGTGTGGGGAGAACTCCGGAGAAGGTTTCCAGAGGCTGCAGAAGGAAAACAATAAAGAAGGGAGGAAAATGAGAGCAGGGAAAGGGGGGAGAGAAAGAGAAAGAAAGAGTATACCATTATTATCACAGGAATAAATCTTACTTCCAAACTTTTCCAATACACAAACCCCATAGAGCCCACTGTTACCTGTCCTGCTCCCCTCCCCTCCTAAATTAGAATGCAAACTATGTAATTCTTGAACATGGGATACATGAGAAAATGGGATCACACAACCATTTTGTGACAGAAAAAAAAGACTCTAAAAAGGATCTTCTCTGATACTGGTGAAACAAAGACCACAGCTCCTTTGATTTTGCTCTCAAAGTAGGTATAAAATGATTCCTACCAACTTAGATATCAAGCTAGAGGCCATCGAGCATTCAGCCATCCATCCACCTCACCCACCAAATAGAAAGCCAGCCCCGATACGTAATTGTACAAAACTAGGTAGTGACAGCTCCATATCTTGCAAGTATTTGGTAGCAACAAACTAGAACAAATGCAAAATGAAAAGGGGAAAAACCAGGTGACTTTCGGTTGTTTGAATTTTCATGCAAGGAATAAGGCTTTGTTTGCTATGGAGCTCTCAGCTTTACAGCTGTATGCTGTAAAAGCAAGTTCTGAACAGAACCTTTGAACCTGCCTCTTTTAAACAGGCAGCCTGTAAAATCTTGAAATATCTCTCCTCCTCGGAGAAAGAATGTGCTCTTCAGAAGGTTGTCACAGTCTGCCTTGCTCATAAGCAGACTAGAAACTCAAGGAACTGGATAACAACGGTAGACCAGTGTATCTCCCATGAGTATTTTCTTTTGCGTGATCTTTGCGGCACTTTGGGCACTCAACAATTGCTCTCCTGCACTGTAGTATTGCAAGGTGGCCATTGTAGTGACAGAAAATGAAAAAGAAGCACTTCAGCACAGGGAATTTAGAGAGCTGGAAGGTGATTACCCAGTTTGGCTGTTGCTGGAGAAGGAGGTGAGAGCACAACCAGGGGAAAGCCCCAGGGTAGCTCTGACCTCAGGGACCGCAGCTATATCTTCCTTCAAAAAATGACAGCGCAGGGAATATCCCTGTTTATTATGGATGTTTTCACCACTTCTGCGGGAAAAGTTATGAAAGGCTGTAGATGTTGTCTACCTTGACTTTAGTAAGGCCTTTGACACCGTTTCCCACAGCATTGTCCTGGCGAAACTGGCGGCTCAAGGCTTGGGTGGGCACACACTTTGCTGGGTAAAAAACTGTCTGGATGGCTGGGCCCAGAGAGTTTTGGGGAACAGAGTTAAATCTAGTCGGCGGCTGGTCATGAGTGGTGTCCCCCAGGGCTCGGTGTTGGGGCCACTCCTGTTTAACATCTTTATTGATGATCTGGATGAGGGGATCGAGTGCACCCTCAGTCAGTTTGCAGATGACACCCGGTGGGGTGGGGGTGTTGATCTGCTCGAGGGTAGGGAGGCTCTGCAGAGAGACCTGGGCAGGCTGGAGCCATGGGCTGAGGCCAACTGGGGGAGTTTCACTAAGGGCAAATGCCGGGTGCTGCTCTTGGGCCACAACAACCCCCAGCAGCACTACAGGCTGTATAAAAAACAAAACACGCAGCTGAACACATATTTAAGGAAAATGGCCAAATGTCTGTGTTAGACAAGCAGCTGCACAGATTTTAACCATCCGACTGTGTCAGCAGATGAAAGCACCCCTGTCCCCACATCCACTCTGGCACAATTAAGTGGGGACTCCTACATCTAGAGAAAATAGACCCCAGACAGTTCATAGCCCTGCAGAAGCACTGATCTACTGGCAAATCTACTGGAGTTAAACCCAGTTGGCAGCTGGTCATGAGTGGTGTCCCCCAGGGCTTGGTGTTGGGGCCACTCCTCTTTAACGTCTTTATTGATGATCTAGACAAGGGAATTGGGTGCACTCTCAGTCAGCTTGCAGATGACACCAAGTTGGGTGGGAGTGTTGATCTGCTTGAGGGTAGGGAGGCTCTGCAGAGAGACCTGGTCAGGCTGGAGTGATGGGCTGAGTCCAACTGGGGGAATTCAATAAAGGTAAATGCCGGGGGCTGCCCTTGGGCCACAGCAACCCCCAGCAGCGCTACAGGCTTGGGGAGGAGTGGCTGGAGAGCTGCCAGTCAGAGAGGGACCTGGGGGGGTGATTGACAGCCGGCTGAACAGGAGCCAGCAGTGTGCCCAGGTGGCCAAGAAGGCCAATGGCATCCTGGCTGGTATCAGCACTAGCGTGGCCAGCAGGGACAGGGAAGGGATCTGACCCCTGGACTCGGCACTGGTGAGGCTGCACCTCGATTCCTGGGTTCGCCATTGAATGACTTGAGCGTGTCCAGAGAAGGGCAACGGAGCTGGTGCAGGGTCTGGAGCACAGGTCTGATGGGGAGCAGCTGAGGGAACTGGGGGGGTTTAGTCTGGAGAGGAGAGGGCTGAGGGGAGACCTCCTGGCCCTCTACAGCTCCCTGAAAGGAGGGTGCAGAGGAGGGGGGATGAGTCTCTTGAACCAAGGAACTGGGAATGGCCTCAAGCTGCGCCATGGCAGGGTCAGACTGGCTCTTAGGAAGTATTTCTTTGCAGAAGGGGTTGTTGGGCGTTGGAATGGGCTGCCCAAGGGGAGAGTTCCCATCCCTGGAGGGGTTGAAGAGTCGGCTTGACGCAGCGCTGAGGGATCTGGTGGAGTTGAGAACGGTCAGTGTGAGGTTAGTGATTGGACTGGAGGATCTTCAAGGTCTTTAAAAGACAAGCTACATGATTCTGTGATTCTGCTTTCCCAGACCATGGCAGACCACCATCCGCTGAGCTGTGACAAGTGCCTGGACAGAATGGAAAACTGCAGCCCCTTTGTACCTCTAATTTTTGTGGTTAGGATCCCAAGTTGCTGTGGACTATTGTCTGCATGTGACAATTGCCATTGTGCTGCTGGGATGGGGTGTGATTAGGATACCCAAATGGTGAGCAGAGTAACAAGGAAGCACTCCTTCCACTCTTATGCACATGCTAAACAGATTTTGTCTTTCCTTGTCTAATTACCTTAGAAACTGAAATACTATACTGGCTATTGTCTCCAGACTGACAGACAAGGAAGATCATCCTCCTCTCCCACCCCAAAGATCAGCCTCTGAAACATTTGAGCTTTTATTGCAGGTCTCTACTGCAAGTATCAGCACACCTTGATATTGTCTCATTCACAAGATTTAGAAAGACAAAAGCTTCCAGCTTCCAACATGTTTTAAAAGGACTATGTGAAAGAAAGAACAGCTTTGTGCTGTGTTGCACAAGCTTTCCCCATCACACATACACACACGCACCTCTTGTGCGTATGTTCACAGTACTGACTCATCACCAGAAATGAGTAGAAACTATTCCAAAAAAGCAACAGTGTTCCTTGCCCCCTTCCTTTTCTAATTGCATTTGAAATTCTGATTTTATTGAGCTTGATCAACTAGGAGAATTCTGCCAATGACCTGAGAATGGATACCCTTCTGCTGAGAAGACAAAATACAAAAAAAAAGCATAGACAAAGTGACTTCACAACACTATCTGCATTCATTTCTGCTGGCGTGTATTCGACAGACATGCCTGACGGTTTGGAGGATAGATGTTTCATAAGGGCTTCAATGTTCCTGCCTCTCCAAGTAAGGACTGAAAAAGCTGCAAATTCGTTTCTCCGGCAATCTGTCAAAAGAACCCAGGGACTTCACATTCCTAGGACTTCTAAGCTAGAAAACAAACGAGGATTTTTGTTTCCTTTTTCCCTCTGGGCTGCCTTTTTTCAAAATAATTCCCAAAACCTACGCAAAACTCTTGCTGACTTTTTATCCGATTCAAGCAAAACCAAAGACACTTGTTACTTCCTTGGCCGGTTTCTTCACATCCCAGATTTTAAGTTTGGAGGCATGAAAGCAGTACAGGCATGTGACTCAGCTCAAAACAAAACTGTACAAAACAGGAAGACCTTCCAGTTCCACTGTTTTCGAAAACTAAGAATAGCAACTGGATGAAGCAGAACGAAAGGCCTCTTCCACCAGAGACCTACTGCAAACAGCAAGCCCTGTCTGACTCAGACAGCTTTTCCATGCAGATTCTAAATAAAATTCCAAAATGCAGAGCCCCGAGGAGGGAGGGTCCCCTTGCCGTCACAGCAGTGAGGCTTGCACGCAAACACTGCAGGGTAGGGAAGGTTACTGCTGATGTGTCAGGGCTGACGCCAGCAGTCAGGGTGTCCCTCTTCATGCTCCCTGCCAGTGAGCCCACAGGCATTTGTGGCCCAGAAGCAGAGCCAAGCAGGCACAGGGAAGACCAGCGTGTGATGGTGCCTCCTGTTTAAGGATTACTGCTGGAAAATGGTCTCCTGAGATGCAGCCCAGCCCTGCAACTTCCTCCCCACACACCCAACTGGGACACACGCAGCAGTCACTTCTAGGACACAAATCCCAGTCCCAGGCTTGGCAGGTGGTAGCTGGGTTACAGAAAGCAGCTATTACAGGGCAGCAGCAGGAATGTACATTTTGGGGTCTGCAGCTGGCATGCAGCAGCTGCCATGCAGCGGCTGGCTAAAAGTAGCTCAGTGTGGAATTTCTCTCTTGGCCACTTGGATCTGAATTTCAAGCACGAGCCACCCTTCTATCTATTTCTGTTCATGTGTGTTGCTCCTCTGCCCCAACATCTGCCAGGCCCGGGAATTTTTCCCTTGCAGAGTAAGCTGGCATTTTGGAAGAGAACATCTCATTCCCACTCACCAGAAAGCACTTTGGGGCACATTAAAACAAGATTTAGCCTGTCAGTCCAGTCAGGGTGATCGGAGGCAAGAGCTATACCACACAGGGCTGCCTTTCCAATACCCCACTGATCTGGCTGAGATGAAGCTCAGTAGACACAAGGAGGACAAATCAAATATTGGGATGAGCTGTGACAGGCAAAGGGAAGAAGGACTCTGAGCTTTCTCCCCCTGCCCAGACTAAGCACTCACAGGATGAACAACAGCTCCTCATTCTCAATCTGCTGTAAACCCTGGAGCCGTTTCTACCCCTGTCAGCATCTTCTGGGTTGTCTGCTCTCTCACCTGCAGACATCTTCCTCAGCTCAATACTGGAATATCTCCAGGCACAACTCTACCTCAGGGCGAGGCAGGTCATGCCCCATGGAGTCTCTGCTGGCATTCGCGTATCACCCGCCAGCCTGGACATCATTTCAGTTTCTCTGCCTCTCCTGAGGGATGGAGAGAGGACAGGGCAGGGAAGAGCTTTCTACGCTCAGGTTACCGACCCTGCCACTGCACGGTGCAGCTGGTGCCTGGAGTTAAGCCTCTACCCTGCTGCTTTTCCTTAAGAAAAGTCACAAAACTTGAGCCCACCTCATGGGATTCCTTGGGGCAGCAGGCAAAAAAAGGCTACAGAGGAGCAACCCTGTGGCAAAAGAGGGTGAAATGCTGGGGGCTGCTGCTCTGCCTGGGCAGTTGCACCACAGGAAGGACTTGCTTCCACAAGAGGGGTACTTACGCAGGGGTCCCACACAGGGTGAGGCGTGCCTATGCCAGGAGTGCCCTCACTTCATATACTCCCCTTCGCTCACATAGTCCATAAAAGACCCCGGCAACTCAGCAAAATCTTCCAAGACAAGACTGGTGGAGTCCTCACCCAGCAGGTCACTGTCGGGCCGGGATGCTCGGGGGCGCGGAGCTGGCGGTGGTGGCGGTGGTGGCTGTGGAGGGGGCTCAGAGGCATCAGCCTGGCCAGAGGCAGGCAGCGGCAGCTCCTCACAGTCCTCCGGCTCCCCCTCAGAGGAGGGTGGCCCGAGGACGTGGTAGAGACTGGGCAAGCGAATGTCAAAGCGAAGGCCAAACTTGGCGAAGAGCTTCTCATTGAGGGAGTAAAGCTTCTCTGAGATGTCGTAGCCCAGGTGGGAGGAGAAGAGCCGGGCAATGTAGCGGTCCTTCCTCAGGAGGAGATAGAGCTTCTTCCTCGGCCAGGTGATGAAGCTGCAGTCAGTCTCAGCTGTCAGCGTGACCTGTGGGGCAGGGAGGGAGTGGAGTAAGCCCCACCGCCTGGGCAGAGCTCACCCACCTCAGAGATTGACGCTTCTCTCCAGGGAAGGCCCCTTGCCCCTTCGATGCCTGCTCTCCTTGGAGACAGCAGGGCTGGAGAGCCAGATTGTCCAAGCTGAACAATGGGATAAATCTTTACCCACCTCAGTTTCTTCTCCACAAGGAGCTAGATACCAGGTTCTCCAATGCAATCAGTGGCATGTCCTTGCTTAACCTAGCCACATGGCTGGCTACGTTTCACCCTTTACCTCTCAGATGATGCTCCCTGTTGACACCTGAGCGATGCAGCTCAATGGAACAGGGCAACACAGACATCCTTATCCCTCTACAGAAATCGTACAGAGGGAGGCATTTCTTCATGCTCAGCCAATCCAAGTTGCCAGATGCCAGCCCATCCAGCTGCAGGGTTGCACAACCCCTGCTCTGAGAAGGCCCTGAGTTTAGGAAGGGCTGCCTGGAAGGCTTGCCTGGACACCTGGAAGGCTTTGCTTGGACACCTGGAAGGCTTTGCTTGGCCACCCTGCACCAGAGGGACATCCTGTCCCACCAGCTCTGCTGGGCGCTGTAGGGCTTAATGGCCCTGAAGGATGTGCAGTACAGCTCAGCAAGAGAGGAAATAAAGGGGTTTACTCTGTTTGTGTGTAGGTAGGGAACTCATCTGAGGTTTTATTGGGTTGACTTTAGAAAATGTTTCAGTTTGCTTTTGAGAACAGAGCCAACACTAACAGAGCTGGTTTTCCCCCTAGCTGTAAAAGATTAGATTATTAATAATAAAAACCATGATATAATACATGAGTGTATATTGTAATATATAAATATAATAATAATAATACAAAAATATAAGAAACACAGGAAGGGTCAAACTGCCTTGGGCCAAAGAAGAACATCCGAGTGTAATGGAGACATCGGCATGTGAACAAGTGCTTGAGCCAAAATATCCCGGGGGCTCCCTTTCACTCTATATCCAGGGGTCTCCTCGGCCAGCCACCATGGCAGAGAGCCACTGGGAAGCTGAAAACGGCTTGGCTGCATGTGTGTGTCCTTGGGTTTGATATTCAATGCCACTGCCACGCAGGCAGCTGCCTTATGAAAGAAATATAGGAGATAAAACCTGAAAACTTTCCCAGGCTGAGGTGAGCAAGAGGAAGGGTCACATGGAAACCAAAATGACTAGAATCTCATTTTCCTAACCAACTTTTGGTACAGCAACCAAAAGGTTCTGCTTCTCATGAGGGATTGAGATGTAATAAGAAAACCTGCCTCCTAACCAGGACTGATTTCACTCATGAATCGCCCCCAGTGCAAGTGCTCCAGCACTGGCAGAGCCCATAATTCAGCCTTCTGGAGGAAAGTGCCAACCCTGAAACCCAACTCCTTCAGGCACTGGGAACCAGAAGACACAACTAAAGCAGAAAGCTCAAGAAAATCACCTCTCCTTGTAGACTAAGTCATGCTTCTGCCATTTTTCGGTGAGCTGACTTGAAACTGCTCAATCTAGAGAGCCATGGAGAAAACTTGGGCAAGGAAAACCTTCCATGCACTCCTCCAGCAAAGTGCTAGAGTCGAACATACACTTTTTTAACCAAATGATTGTGATGCTAGAAATAATGTTGAGACATGCTGCAGAATTTTATTAACTACTCAGGTAAGAGGGACTAGTGGGTTAAACAGCTGCCAAAAGCAGCACATCACCGTGGCTAAGCACAGCCATCAGGGGTGCTGTCCTGCCAGGAACATGGACTGGTCAAGACTCACCTGCTGAAGGCTGCTACTTCTTCATGCTCCTCAGTAAGCAGACATGGGTTTTCAAGTATTCCCAGCACATGGCTGCAGCCTTTCCCCACCTGGGACTCTACCTGTCCATCCTGATGCCAGGCGCAACTAACCTCCCTGACCAGCCCTGCCTCTCAGAGCAAGAAGAGGAGCCAAGACCGTGGTGCTGGCAGGGCTGGTGCAGCCTGGCACCATCTTTCTCCTGAGCCACCTCACACACTGCAGATAAAGACAGTCGGTAGGTCTGGGAACACTTAGTTTCAAAGAAATTAGCTCAGAAAATGATGCCGAGGTCTTGCAGGTTACATGCCATCCAAGTGGCTATTCCCCTACCAGGAGCACCAAGCAGCTGTCATTCTCTGCTCGAGTTTCAGGAAAATGCAGTCCAGGAGCTAGTAGCAATCTGCTGTCGGATTGAAGCTCTGTGTGAAACACAAGATACCCTCACCCCTAGCACAGCCATGCTGTTGTTGCCCTCTCAACCCCATTATCTTGGCCTGGCATCCCTATTTCTGCTCACGAGCTGTGGCCCTGTGCCACAGCCACATGGTCAGATATCTCCTGGAACTGCTCCTCTTGCAAGACCACTGGCGATGGCACAGCTTCCAGAAGCGACCGCCACGAGCCTTTCACACACAGGCCAAATTCAGACCTGAGGAAAGCAGATTCGGAGAGTTGCTCTGGTTTAACCAAGTCTGAATGTTGCTGCCCTCATAAGAAAGCATCATCATGCCCTCATGACTGTCCCACGCTCCCAAGAGATTAGCAGAATCCCTCCTCATATGCCCTAAGTGACATATTCTAGATTGATTTCCTGACAGGGATCAGCCTGTCCTGGGATGTGAGTTAAAGGCAGACAGATGTGGACCTAAGTAATCTCCTCCAGAAGAAAAGCCAAACACATACTGTGGGGTGTTGACAGCAAGAGCAAAATCCTTTCAGTTGCTGCAAATAAGAATCGGTCTGGCCTCTCAGCAAAGGATTCTTCTGCTCAGAAAGAGCCATATTTGGGTGTGAATCATCCTTTCTGCTTCTCCATCCCAAACATATCATCATCAGTACTTCTTTGAGGAACAGGATATTTATGGATTTACATCCCTGCTGCATATTGTCGTGATGCTGGAATGACACATCCTGCTAGCAGCGTGTAGGGGAAATGCATCAACACAGGTACTAGGGAATGCTGTGATGGCAGAAAGCCAGCAATCTGATACCTCGTCTCCCTGCTAAACTGGAAGGAGCACCACGCTCCACCCTCCCTGCTATCAGCTGGTAGTAGAAGCATGCACTGAGGTCTTCTGAGGAAGATAGAAAAAAAAATTAACACTGATGCCCCATCCTGTGCTGGCTAAAGCACAAGGAAGGGGAGGAAAGTGTTCCTTTGAATGGTATAATAAGCCCCCCTCTGTCCCCTTCTCAGACATGCAACGAAGCAGCAAGGAGCGAAGCTGGGCTGCTGCGGGGCTGCGTGGGGTTACCTGGAAAGTTCCTTCCTCAGAGGGTCGCAGCGACTCCCATTCTGGAGAGTCCAGGAACTGGAACGGAAAGACGTAGTGAAGGAATTGTCCATCCTGGCTCACCCGGACCCTGCAGAGAGGACAAGTGAGTCACACAGGCTTAGTCCACCAAACAGATCATCACACGAACCTGATCAGCTCATACAACGTGCAGCCGGTCCCGCCAGGGAGGAAGGGATTTCTCTTCATCTCACACGTGTCTTGTACCCTCTACGCAATAGCTGCAGATGCTCCAGTCTATGGGACTGACCCTCCTTTCTCTGCAGAAAACAATATCTGCTCCACTTCCCCATATTCCATCTGTTTTCTGTTTCCTGCGCAGGTAAAACGCTTGGTCCTAACTCAGGACTTCTCAGCCCACAAGTCTGCTGCTGCTTTTCAGGGACTTCTAAGCCAGTCTGTGTCTCTTCATACTTGCATCTTTTTCCTGTCCCCAGTGTTGCAGGCAGGCATTCCCTGCCTTGATGCCGGAAAGCTGTTAGACCCAGAATCCCCCAGAATCACATTGGCCATCATTCCTGACACATCACACTGACACACACTTTACCATTCAATCTCTCTTGGCCTCCCAAGTATCATTTTCCCCTACTTCTGCTATAACTGCCTACCAATGTCAAGGTTGAACTTGCACCCAGCTCTGCTGTGGGAGCAGAGGAGAGCTGCACAGGCCTGGGGCAATGCCAAGGCACTCTGAAGCTCTGGTGCTGCACCACCAGTTTTGGGGTCTCTTGCCTCCCTGTTGCCATGTTCCCCCCTGTTGTACGTTGCTCAGAGGCAATTCTTGTTTTCAGGAGTTACAAGGTTCATTTCACCGTTGGCTTCCAGCCAGCTGGGAGTGCTGCCTGGAAGGGTCAGGGATTGCAAGGCAGGTTTCCTGATCCAGGCATGTTCTGCGCTTCCAAGCCCCCCTTATCTTGCTATTGTTCAGTTTAAGGGGGGGCACCACTATAGTAGAAATGCTCTGCTGGGTCAGCAAGGGCCTCACAAAGCCATAGAACGGCAGCAGGAAATGCAAATCCAATCCCATCTCCACAGAGCATCCTATACCAGCAAAGATGCAGACTTCCCACTGCAAAAGAGCAGACAATCACCTTGCCAGCACTGGATTACTGTCTGTTGCAGCACCTTCTTGCCCACTGAGCAGCATCAGACTATCCAGTGCAGGGCAAGCCAACCCAGACTCTTCCTCGCTAACGTTACTTGCGGATACAGTAAACTTCACAGCAAGCTGCTCAGCACAGACATCTGCTAAGGGGAAAGACATCTAATGGAAACACGTACCTAATTTCCTTCCAGTGCTTTGCCATTCAACACTGTTCAGTGGCCCCAGAATGCTTTTAGCACATCCTAGAAAAGGTACAAACACCAAGAAAAGGAAGGACAACCCTTCTTCTTTACAACCCCCCCCCCTCACCCTCACCCGAGAGGATGGACCACCGCAGTAAAACATGAGCCCCAGGTGATACTGGGCTTGTCTTCCCAAAGGAAAACCTTTGCGACACACTTCCTACAGCTCAGCACTGCTCCCATTTACAGATCTCCTACCTTTCCCACTCTCACCTGATGTTAGTGCCAAGTGCCTGGCAGCAGCTGGGAAGCCAATATCATTACTATTTGCATGCATTTGAATTTTGCAGCTCATTAAGAGCTACGCTCATAAAGGCATGCCACAGGATCTCAGGTGAACAAATGCCAACACTCCATCAACATAGTTCACTCAATAATCAAACCCCCAGCGTTACTACCTAGAGGTCCCTGAGGTCATCCTTGACGGTCCAGAGGAAGGAACATCTTGAATACATGACAGCACAGGGAAAGAAAGAGGCCTGATGAGGCAGGATCCACCACAGGAAAGTGCTCTCTCTTTTTACAAAATGACTCTCAAAGCAAAAAATGTCAGAGCCCTGAGGGTTAAGGTGTTGGGAACAGAGGTGGAACCTCTCCCTGAACACTGCTGGCCAGGGGGAGAAGGTGAACTGAGGACTCAGTGTACTCGGTGCACAGCCCTTCGCATCACAGAGGTGTGTCTGGTACCCTCTGAGACCACAGGTCCAGGTATACTGCCTTCCTGCCTTGAGAAACACTTTCTCATGGCCAGTCTGCTCCCATCAGAAATAAGAACACTTTAAAATGTCAGAGAAAGAGGTAAGGATTCCCCAGCAGTATCACAAGCAAGGCTGAGCTGGCACATAGCTTGATTCTGCAAACTGTTCCCTGAAATATTCTAACGTAGAAAAACAGAAGAAAACAAAAACAACCCCCAAAAGCAAATCACACCCCTCCCCAACAAACAGGTGCGTATCTCAAACAGGTGCGTATCTCCTTCCTTTCACAGGAAGGAAACAGTCCTCACCCCAGTTTCTACAGAGGGTGAAAATTCAACAATAAGCCACAGTGCTTTTGCTGTCAGACTTTATCCAGAAACCAGAGAGCCCTTACCTGCCAGACAGCAGCAACGAGAGGCGGTCAATGGGCGTCTTGCCCTCCACCGCGTAATTCTGGTCTCTGACTAGTGACTGCACTTGCTCTTCACAGCACTTCACGATTTCTTTGTAGACGTCCAGGGGCACCTGCAAGGGCAGGTACATGGTCTTGTAGAGGAGGTCAAACTCTTCTGGGATGGTGTCTCTGCGGAGCCGGTAAACCAGGTGAGCCAGCTGAAGCAAGCAGGCAAGGACGAGCAGCATGTTCCAGATGAAGATATCCAGCCCACAGGCGCTCAGCCAGCCCCACAGGGCATAGCAGAAGTAGCCTGGGGCCAGGAGGCCAAAGATATAGAGGGACCCGAAGATGCCGCTTCCCCCCATGTAACCCAGGAGGACGATGCAGCTGGCCAGGTGGTAGGCTGCTCCCTCCATAACCTCCTTCCAGGCATCACACACTGGAGGCTGGAGAACAGCCTGGTCCCAAGAGAGGCTGCTTGCGCTCATCCTTCCCCACTCCCCACCCTCCCTGGCCTTCCTGTGCTCAGAAGGAATTGTCATACACAAAGGGTGCTGCAGAGGTCTGAAACCAGAGCTGCTGGGTAGCTGTTCCTCCTCCTCCTCTTGAGCGTCGGCAGGTCCCACAGCAGCGCGCTTCAGAGTGACATGTTAAAGCGCTGCCGAACGTTTTTGCACCCAAAAAATCCCAAAAGTGCTCTTTTCTCCTCTTTGTGGCTCACAAACCAGCAGCTGTCTCTCTCCTTAGCCACACCGGTGAGAAAAGGAGCTGGCAAACAAGAGGCCAAAAGAGCACAGTCAAAGAAAGAGTAGAGGCCATTAGCCGTAAAACTCGCAGGCAGGACAGAGATCTCGCTGCGCTGCCTCTCTCGCCTGCCCTCCGGCAAATGGAAAGAGAGAGCGAGCAGTGGAGGGAGCTGGTGCCGAGTGTGGAATGTGTATCACTTGGCAGCGGAAAGGAGAGAGACCCCAAATGGATAACCATGTTTGGAATTGAAATCCAAGGAGCAAAAGCAGCGAGGAGAACAGAGAGCAAGCACGCACCCGCTACTTAACATAACTCAGGCGCCCAGATAAGCCCGGCACAGCGCAAGGAGGGGATAGGAGAAGGGAAAACAACCAGCTTATCACGGTGAGCTGCAGCCTCGCGTGGGGCTCTGCACCGCTCTGCGCTCCTGCAAGAGTGACTTTCACCCAGCACAAAAAAGGAAAAAGGTCACCCCCTTCTCCCACTGTGGCCTGTAGCAGTGGCAGGGACTTGGCAAAAGAAGAGAGGCTGGTTCTCGAGAAATGCTTTCCAGGCCCTGCAGCACAGCCTCCCCTGGCTCCAGGGAGCTCCAACCCGTGGGGCATTTCAGACCAAGGGGCACGAGGTAAAGCTCTGCACAGGCAGATAGTGGTGATGAGAAGGGATAAAGCTAAACGAGGCACTAGGATTCAGCTTCATATGTCACAAAGGGTACACTATCCTGCCTAAAACTTTGGGAGTGCAACACTTGGAAGTGTGCTGTGCACGGAAATCCTAGTTCAGGGAGGATTCTCCCACCCCAATGGGCTCTGTTGGGAGGCGTCCTTGGGAAACGTCATCTCACATTTTTGTGCTTTTTATAGCTATTTGGAACCCCCCAGACCTTCATTTAGCATGCAGAGGAATGCAAACACTTTCCACTGGGGTAACCCAGGACACAGGCACGAGAGGGATCTGTTGAGTTCAGTCTTCCGCAGTCAGCTACCAAAAAGATGCATAAATGCAATTTCTCCCCTGCTTCAAGTAACACAGTGGCAGGATCTGCCCCGCTGCCAGGGAGCTGTTGCATTTCAGGCATTGACGCAACCCGCATGGTCGGATGAGAGTCTGAAGTCAGCCTGCCTGGGTCAGTGGAGTAGAGGTAGAGTTTCAAGAGTGCTCATGTTTCAGGCCGAGCTTGCAGCTGCCCTGCCTGACATGCCTTTCCCGTTGGCACCATGCACTTAAAGACACAACTAGTTGCCTCTTGTATTAATAGTAGCTCTGGAGGAACACAGTCTACTGGCTGAGGCTGAAGCAATGCTTTATGGCAACCTGAAAGGATTCATCATGGTCTTGGACCACCTATTTCTACAACAATTAGTCCACATGCAGCACAGAGCAGTACAGCTCCTGAGGTATGGGGAAATGAAGAACTTCATTTCTCTTAACCTTCTCTGCAAAGAGGGAAGGGTGATCTTATAGCCAAAACACTACAATAAAAATCTTAGGAGCCAAGTTCTGGTTTTAATACTATTGCCACAACTTGGCTAGATGATCCAACAATGTGTCTACCTTTAGGCCTCTGCAAAAAAAAAAAAAAAATCATTATAAGAGGCCCTTTTTCCAAGATAGGCTAACATTTGATACAATGGGGAGTCGGGATATCTTATCTGATACTTTATGTCAGATCTGTGAGACAAAACTTTTGCAGCAACATCAAAGAAAGTGACAAAAAAAATGTTCTTAATTTCACTCATTAGTTAGGTAAATTCCTGAGCTGGAAAGTACTCTGGAGAACAATGTTAATGACTGATGAGGACAGGGAAGGTGGTCCGCTGTCTCCTTCCAGAACAGGGAGAGTGGTGTTGCAGTAACCCCAGAGGCACACGCTGGGGTCACAGAGGTGCCGGGGCCAGCGCCGAGGGCAAGGATGCCCATTGTGACTTCCCTGTGGAAGGCAGACAGGAAGCTTTAAACCCACAGCAGGAACAAAGCCCTCCTTAGAAACTGTACAACCTTTCTTCTGGGACCAAAGGTGACTTTGCAGAGAAAATGAAGCATTTTAAAAAGCAGATCTCTGAGCATACTCAGAGATTAGGTTTTTCGGGCCCAGTTTTTTAAAAGGAAGATTTGTAAAGCGGTTGAACCACTGAGGCTCAAATCTTCCTCTCTCCCTTGAGAGTACTGTGGCCATACAGACCATCTTCCCAGCGCTTTCAGTTTTCCACCCATCAAGAGTTCAAAAAGCTCTTAATTTTCCCAAGAGAAGCTTTATTTTCATGCCTTGCCTTGAATTAGAATACATGCCTTCCATCCAGGGATGTTGGGGTTCATCCGAGATGAGTGTTCGAAAGCCAACACTGATTCAAGGGAAAAGCCACACAAGTATTAAAAGGGAGATACCAAGGCCCGAAACAACTTGGAATCAAGAGAATAAGTGCACAGAAAACACCCGAGCAGCATTAAGACTCCTCCCTGGAAGGTGGCACACAGGTATTACAACAAAAGGAGACTGTGAAGAAGAAAAATAGATGTGTCAAGCTTTTCAGCACTCAAACTGGCAGTGTGTAAACAGGTACTCTGCTGATTTTCCCACTTAATACTGAATTCAACCAGTATAATATTTGTACTTAATATTACTTAATATTTAGCCCCACATAATGATGTGAGCCAGGGCAGCCTGCACTACGTCTGACAAATAAACCCTTGAGAGCAGCACCGCACTGAGAAATTATCAGTCCCAAATTTCACTGCAGTTAAACGACTATTTTGCCCATTCTCAGGAAGTCTACAGGTTCACTACTGATCCTGCAAGCCGAAAATCAGTCCAGTCAGCAGTGTTGAGGACACTAAGACCTTGCTGGCTTCAAGGCAGAAAGGGCATAATCAGATATTGCCTTTTCAATTTATTAGACAGTGCACTGGTGGTATCAGTCCGCAAAACAGTTACACAATAATAAACCCTGTAGCTTCAAAATATCCTGCTGGTGTTTCGAGTCACATTCAATTTACAACTGTTGGGAAAGGTCTAAACAAGCTTGTGGTGAGTTACGAAGGGACAAAGACAGTGTGTACTGTACTGAGTTGTACTTCTCTATAGTTCAGTCAGCTTTCCTGCTACCACCACGTGCCATGCCCTCACAGGTACACCCAACACCCTGCCCAGGGCACTGGCTGTCACCAGGTCCATTGCAGAGTAGGAACACAGTGCCAGCAACTCCCCCTCACCTCATCAAACCCTGAATCCACTCCACAGGAATCCTGGAGTAACAAATGCAGCCGCTCAGCAAGAAGTATGATTTGACTACGAGGTTCTCCCAAATTGTCCAGTATTCTTTCTGTACCTGTTGCACACAGGTATTGCAGCATCCCACTCATTACCTTCCTGCCAAAAACCATCTAAAGTATCTGCCATGCTTTTACCTTCACACAGGCCTAGATGTGCCATTCCTTAAGCTTACTGAATTTGTGTCAAATTGCACAGGGATCTGTTTTTATTTTTCTTGACCCAATTCAAACAGCACTTCGTTCTCACTTGACCACTTCCAACGTCTGCCCTGCTCTCTACTCTGTGGCACCATTTCCACAGTTGGCCCAGACTGGACACACTACCACAAAGCCAGTGCTCGTCCACCTTTTCACGTTCTCTTCAGTTCAAGGTCTGACATACATCAATGCAACAATAACCTACTCGATTTTCTACCTCAAAACAATAAATGCCAAGAGGAGCATCAGGTCCTGCTCACCAGCCAGGTACAGCACCGCAGACAGCTTTAAACCCTTTTTGCCAGAGCCACGCCTACGGCCCTTCTCTTAAGCTGGAAGCCCCCGCAGGCACAACTCTTACCTCAGGACAGGGGAGCGGATGAGCAGTGTAAAGCTAAGTCTGACAGCCTGACTTGTCCCCTGCAAGCATTTGAGTGCATTTTTTCTCAGACTCCAGGACCTCCATTCCTGGAAGCAGAGACTAAACTCTCCTTACACGACCTGAGTCTCAGCAGGGACAGTACCAAGCGTCACCTACTAAATGCCAACAGCCCATTTGTGGCTAGCTCAGAACGTGCTGGGCCCAGCTGGCAGTGCAGCAATCATGGCTGCACCCACCCCTCCAACAGCACCAAAGACAAGAGAAGAATCAAGGCAAAGCACAGATTTTATATCTTCAATTTCTGAGAATAACACTCAGCAGGAGGAGAGGAAGTAATCAGTGATGCCATCTCAATCAGTCAACTGACCAAAGGAAGAGCAACTTTAAGAGTTGCATGGCAACATAGTATGAAACCAAGACAGTCCCACATGTGTACTAAGTGCACTTTTTTTTTCTCAATTGTCATAAGGAAACAAAAGTCACAACCACCTTCCCACTGTCATGTCACATGGGTGAGAAAAAAAGCCAAAACCAAGTCTATGCACACCTAGCACAAGACCAACACAACAAAAACTGGGCATTAAAAAAAACCCTTTTCTTTCAGGCAAGTGACCTCTACATACACCTGCAGTCCTCCGCTCCCTTTCCCTTGAAGAACTACTGGTTCAAGAATTTGAGTTTGGTGTGGAAAGTACTTAATTCTTCATTATAAAAAATGAAGCTTGAATTCTAGGGTAAAGCTATTAAAAAAACATTGGAAGAATTGTAACAGGGGAAAGCTAATCCAGTTTTGACCCTAAGGAAAGTTCATTTTGTAACCCTGTGGTCGTCTTTATATAAATACAGTCACACCTACATGACTTTGCTGGAAGCAGTAACAGGGCGCTGTTAGCAGCATGATTTCTCAGTTTGCATCAGCGGGAAAACCCAGCGAAGGCCCATCTGTTGAACCACAACACCGGAGTACTCGATGTTGTCCTGTCAGTGAGTAAGCAGGCTCTTCGCATCCTCCCCACTTCCATCACAGGCTGTTTTCAATGAGGATGGCACTGTCATTTCTTCATGTAAAAAGAAACAGAAGTCAGGAACACTGGTCATTTTCAGACTTTTATTAAGAGGAAAAAAAATATTTTCTATAGCAGTGGTCAAGAGCTAACAGTGGAAAAGCCACAGACGTGATACGCTAGAGATTCTTTATAAATAGATTCTTTGTTTATATTTGTTCTTTGAAGTCACTTGCAGAAATAATTTATTTTGCAGCTTTCCAGAACACAGTCACACCTCAGACATCACCTAGAAGAGAGAGGAAAGACAGCTTCACAAAACCTGGATTTCCACTGGATACTGAGGGACAGTTCAACAAGCAACAACAACAAAAAATAATTCCCAGCAACAAATCCACAAAACCCAACTCCCACACTGCCCTAGAACTAGAAATTTAAGCTGAAATTTCAGATCTGTTAGAAGACAACAGAGGCAGAACTGTACCCCACTGCTGAAGAGCTACTCTGTGAGTAGCTGCATCCTGCTAGAAGGCTTCACCACCCTCCCAAGGACAACAGAACTTCCTCTAGTGTCAGTGAGGATTGGTTTGCCCTCCCTCTCATAAGGAAGACACCTTTGCAATCTCAAACAGCACCCTGACCCTTCCAGAGGCAGCAGCAGAGGTGCCAGGGCACTGCAGAAGCAGAGGTCCTGAAGGCTTTACTCACCACAACCACAGTCCTGCTCCTCACATTCATATCTTGAAGCCCAGAGCTCTCATACACTCTTTGTGAGCTTCGATTAGGTGCCCACAATTTTCTTCCCCCTTCTCAATGATGCTGCAAAACAAAGATTTCCAAGGTTCAATAACAAAACTCTTTGTTTGCTGTAAGTCAAAGTCACAGAACTGCCAAGTTGTTGGGGACAATCAAAAATCCCTACTAGGCTCCAGAGATCTTTTTCCTGTCTATCCTGTCCTTTTTTTCCTCTTTTTCCTGTCTATCTTTTTCCTGCCTATCCTGTCCAGGGTAGCATTGTTCTGGAAAGTATACTACTATCTCAAAAAGGTGTTCAGGTCTGGAACTGTGCTCTGATGGTGTAACAGAATTTCCTATTAACAGGCTAGCGTCTCTTCTGGGCGAGTCTAGACAAGGATTTGTTATACAACACAAGTCTGTTGCATTACTTCATCAAGCACGCTGATCTCATCAGCAACCAGTTTCAAATCATTCAGTATGGAAGCAACAAAATTCCTCCAGTAACAGACCAATACAGAATAGGTTGTCGAGTAAATATTTTAGTCCAGCTTCAGTTGTCATTTAAGGAACCTGAAGCAAAAACAAACCCTGTCCAGCTACTCTTAAAAAAACCCTCGTTACCACATATGGTAACTTTTGACGTTAGTGTCTACTAGATCCAAGTGTCTACTACATATTCCAGTAGTGGTAAGATCCTACTATCATGTGTATACCATGTGTACTTCAGGCTCCCTCTCTGACTGACTGGCAGAGAGCTTCCTGACCCCCCCACTCTGCAGAGAGCAGGTCAGATCAACCCTCATCTGCCATGTTCTTGCTGCCAAAGGAAGAAACTACCAAATGGTGAAGAATTAAAATATTTTGTTAATAATATTAAGTTTTATTACAATACATATGGACAGGTCTGCTGGCCGCCCAAGGCAATTCCATCTGATTTGGGATTTGCATCCCACAACCCTTAGAGGCCCTGGACTCACCTTCACTCTACCCCTAGTGACAACCCCCTAATATTAGCAAAAATACAGTGTCCAGCATTATGTCACCTACTGAACAGCTGTACCACCTGTCAGGGAAAAAAGAAGACAATTTGGTCACCAGATTGAAGTTTTTTAAAGATTTACTGTCATAGACAAGGGGACTCTATTTGGGGGGAGCACTTCATGCTGTTTGATAGGTCCTACGATTGTGACTAAGGCTATGATTACAAATGCAGCTCTATACACCATTGTCAAATTTTACACCTGTGAGAAATGTCATCCTCCGAGACCTAAAAAACAAAGTGTTTTATTTAAAAGAGAACAGCATTTATCATCCATTAAACAAACAAACAAAAATGTTACTACCTGCTGGTACTAGTTGCTTTATTCAGTCAACACTAGTGAAGATTTGCAAGCAGCATTAAAAGCTAATTTCTGAAACCCGTTTTAAACTAGCGCTCTGACGTATTAATCTCATTTCTAATTTTAAAATTTTCTCCTCTGCCTCCACACTCTCCCTCCCACCCTCCTGGATGCTCCAGCACCCTCCGTCCAGAGTGGAGGGGGCTCCTAAAATCGCCCCGGCACGTTAGCGAGGACAGAAACCAACCACTAGGATGCAGCGGGGAGAGAAACGCGCCGGGCCGGGCCGCGCCACAGGCCGGAGGCGGGCGAAGGGGGTAAACGCGCCAGCAGCTCGGCGATGGGGGATGCCAAGGGGAAGGCCCACCCCAGGGAACGCCG